TGGGAAAGAATCACGTTTCTAGCTGGGCATGGTGGTTCATGCCTGTAATCCCAGATGCTCAGGAGGCAAAACCAGAAAGATCTTCATCCAGGCTGGCCTGAGCAAAGTTAGCATAAGACTTTATCTGAAAAGCAAACTAAAAGCAAAAAAGGACTGGTGGGGGGGGGCATGGTTCAAGTGCTAGAGCTCTTGCCTAGCATGCAAAAGGCCCTGAGTTCAAACTCCAGTATGAGAATAAAAACCAAAAACCAAACAAAACTAACACATTTCAAATATTTGCTATTGCTGCTAGAAAAAATAACTCTAAGCATATAAGATATACCTATGAAGCTGATGAAAAGGATTGCAATACCATGCCAGGCTTGTTTGCCCAGGCTGGGCAGACTGAGATCCTCCCAATCTCCCAAGTAGCTGGGATTACAGACATGAAGCACTGCACTCTGTTCATTCCACAATCTTTGATGATGCACCTGCTGTAAGAACTGAAACATGAATTCAGCCTCCCTCTTTGGCATGAGTCAGTCTGGGTGGGGACAGAGTTGTCTGGAAGCCCTTGGAAATCTCAGGAAAAAGCTGGATAGCGCTGGATCTTTGGGGAACTGAAGGTCCGTTTCTTTTAAATGGTGCCAGAAACAAAACAGAATAAGCAGCGAGGCTCCAGGAAGAGGAGGGTTTCACAGGAAGGACCCTGTAGTTCTGGGGATGGATGCCACTGCTGTACACACCTGGTACAGTGTGACAGTGTTGACTTTACTTTTAGTCTCTGGCTACCGACCAGGCAAGGAAAGCATATTTAGAATGCAAATGTTGTTTGTAATTCTAACTATTTGCAAGGCAGAGATCAGGAGGATCAAGGTTTGAGGCCAGCTGGGGCAAAAAGTGAGTAAGGCCCCCGTTTCAATCAATCATTTGAGTGTTGTGGCACTCACCTCTCACCTCACCTATGCAGGAGGCAGGGGTAGCAGGATGGTGGTCTGAGGCTGATCCCAGTGCCAAAAAAGAAAAAAAAAAAACGAAGGGAGGGAAGGAGGAAGGAAGAAAGGAAGGAAGGAAGGAAAGAGAGGAAGGGAGTGATGGAGGGAGGGAGGAAGGAAGGAAGGAGGGAGGGAAGAAAGGAAGGAGTTAAGGAAGGAAGGAGAGGGGAGAAGGAGGGGGGGAGGAAGAAAGGAAAAAGAGAAAGAGAGACAGAGAGAGAAAGAGAAAGAGACACAGAGAGAAGAACTCTAAAAAAAAATACCTCACAAGACTGTCTGAAAAATAAGTAAGTAAAAAGGACTAAGGGTGTAGCTCAAGAGGTAGAGCACTGCCTAGCAAGTGCAAAGCCCTGAGTTCAAACCCCAGGACCGCCAAAAAAAAAAAAAAAAAGGAGAAAGAATGCCAATGTTCAGGCTGAATGATTCCACTGTAGAGGTTCAGATGGGTGAAGCTGGAGGCAGAGGTGGGACAGGTTCAAGGCAAGGACATGGCAGGAGTGCTACGTTACACAATATTAGGAGATACTGCCTACAGTCATGGATCAAAAACTAAAGGTCCAAGGTTACTGCTTAAGTTATCAGGATGACTAACAGAGCAACTAAGTTCAGTGTATGAATAATTACGTTAGGAAGGTGTGAGGGAGGGAGGGGAACTTGCTTAAATGACCTACCTCATCATTAGCAGGGCCCAAGAGGTAGTATCTAAAATAGACAAAGGGCAAAGCCAGCCACAAAAAAGACCTGAAGGAAGTATGAAACAGGGCTGGTGGAGAGATCTCATGCCTGCCTAGCAAGCATGAAGCCCTGGGTTCAAATCCCAGTACCACTAAATAAATAAAAAGAAAGTATGAAACAGAGGGTGAGGAAAAGGAAAAATGGGATGGGATGAGGGGGAGGGGGAAATGGCAGAGAACTGTTGTCTATAACACTCTCCCCCCAGGTGTAATTTTGATTCATGAAACATGGAATTTATAGTCACTATTCTTCAGGTATTGATTGGCTCTTTGGCCAATGACAAAGTTGTTCGGGTACTAAAAGTATTTAATGGGACTGGGGTTGTAGCTTAGTGGTTCAGAGTTTGCCCAGCAAGCCTGAGGGCCTGGGTTTGATCCCTAGCATTGTAAAAACAACAAGAAGAGAAAGTATTTATTTATGTATCTGGCTTAAATAAGTAAAACATTCACAAGGCACAGAACTGGAAAAATATAAAGTACTGAGTAAAATTTCTGCCCTGTGTCTCCATTCTTCTGGTTCTCTGTAGATAATAATTGTTTTTTTTTTTTTGTGGTACTGGGCTTTGAACGCAGGGCCTACACCTTAAGCCACTCCACCAGCCCATTTTTAGTGATGGGTTTTTTGAGATAGGGTCTTCAGAACTATTTGGCTGGCCTGGCTTCGAACTGTGATCCTCCTGATCTCTGCCTCCTGAGTAGCTGGGACTGTAGGTGTGAGCGAGCTACCAGCACCCAACTTCCCTTATTTTTCTTTTCAGAGGCACTTCATGCACATAGATGCAAATATGTATATAATTCCTCCCCTGCATCCCACCACAATGATTTGAAAAACCTCAAACAGTGGCTTTCTTTTTTTTTTTGCTACACTGGGATTTGAACTCAGGGCCTCATACTTGTTTGGTAGGCACTGTACCACTTGAGCCACTCCACCAGCCCTGTTTAATGTTGAGTATTTTCGAGATAGGGTCTCACAAACTATTTGCTGGGGCTGGCTTCAAACAGTACTCCTGATCTCTGCCTCCTGAGTAGATGGGATTACACGCATGAGCCACTGGTGCCAGGCTGTGTTGGGTATTTTCAGGACAGGGTCTTGAGAACTATTTGCCCCAGGCTGGCTTTGAACCTCAATCCTCATGATCTCTGCCTCCTGAGTAGCTAGAATTACAGGTGTGAGTCACCAACTAACAGTGGTGTTCTATCCCTACTGCTCAGCACCTAGTCTTTTTTACTTTATCAATTTATGTCAGCAGTTGCTCTATACCACCAGTGAGCTTCCTTGTCTTTTTTTAATTATTATTTTCTTTTCTTTTTTTTTATTATTCATATGTGCATACAAGGCTTGGGTCATTTCTCCCCCCTGCCCCCACCCCCTCCCTTACCACCCACTCCGCCTCCTCCCTCTCCCCCCCACCCCCTCAATACCCAGCAGAAACTATTTTGCCCTTATTTCTAATTTTGTTGTAGAGAGAGTATAAGCAATAATAGGAAGGAACAAGGTTTTTGCTGGTTGAGATAAGGCTATACAGGGAGCTGAATCACATTAATTTCCTGTGCATGTGTGTTACCTTCTAGGTTAATTCTTTTTGATCTCACCTTTTCTCTAGTTCCTGGTCCCCTTTTCATATTGGACTTGGTCATGATCATAGTCATAACTGAAAAATGGCATCTCTGCCAAGATATTTTGTGTGTGTGTGGTAGTGGGGTTTGAACTCAAGGCCTCCCATTCTTTAGGCAAGCCCTCTAGCTAGAGAGTGTTCCCCCCCGCCCCCCGCCCCCCGGGGGTGCGGAGGGAGGGCAGTGACAGGACAGCAAATGAAGGGATTATAGGACAAATTGAAGGTAACACAGTCAGGAAGCTGCTGGAATCAGCTAGGTGAGCCCAGGCGGGCCCCCAGGGCAGGGGCAGGAAGGAGGAGAAGCAGAGATCCTGAAGGCAGAATCTATAGGACTGAGTTTTCGGTTCATGGGGAAAAACAAAAGAAGATTCCTGTTTCCTGAACAAAAGAAGATTCCTGTTTTCTCATGTTATGTTATCAATGCAGAAAACTGCAGAGAGACCAGAGCTGTGTCCTTAGGCTTTCTGGCCTCAGAAGAGGCCCCATGAGGAGTCAAAGGCAAAATTTGAAAAATCAGAGGAACACCTGGAGGAGATATCCAACTGGGTGTTGAAAGGTGGGAGAGTACAGTTATTTAGGGGATGAATTCCTTCCCCCCCTCCAAGTTCTCTCCAGGGCCTAGTGTAGGAGTCCCTCTTTCAGTCCTCTAGTTAGACATGTTGTGCCCTACCCTGAGGGCTTTCCCAAGCACCACACCTGTTGGAGGGCAGGTTCAATACAGATGGATCAGATTGGTTTCTGGACCTAGAAAGCATAACACTGGGGCCATGGTAATAACGCCCTCTTTTATGTAGGACTTCAGTATGTTCACATTTGGTGGTTGGTTGGTTGGTCCCATTTTTAAAGATGGAGTATAGGATCTGAGAGAAGTGAGTTGCTCACTGTTCCAAAAGGAATTCACAGCTGAGTCTCTAACGATAATAATATTATTGTTATAATAGTGATAGTCAAAATGGCAATGGCTTACATTTCTACAGCTGTCAGTATTACTGCATGACACTAAATCCTTTAGGAACAAAGGTTCTATTACAAAATCCTCCTATCTCTGTTACCTAGAAACCAGAAGGGGATAGAGGTGAGATTCTTAACCCCCAACCCAGACAGCCAGACTTTTCAAACCCTCTGAGCCCTCACCCCTCTGCCTGGCCACTCCCCTACCCAAAAAAAAAAAAAAAAGGTCAGCCCTCCGCATGGTCAGGCGGTGGCACCTCAGATCTGCTCTGCTTGCAGCCTCGCCATTTTCAAGGTGAGGAAACCAAGGGTCGTGGAGGACGATCATACACGAGCGACAGCTGACAGCAAGAGGCTCCACGAGGTGACGCAAAGCCACGACCCCGGGGTGACCCATAACAGTGGACAGCGCGCTCGGGGGGAACAACAAGGTCGAACGCGGAAACTGCCGGGACCGCCCGCCCCGGAACTGAGTGCCTGGCTCGGGGGCGTGGCTGTGCCGAGACCCGAGGGGGCGTGGCCGAGACGGGCCGTACCAAACAGCACGAAATCATAGGGGAGGAATAAAGGAGAGGCCCGCTCGCCCTGGCAGCGCGCGTTGTTCTAGTAGGCGGGGCGGCAGCTGCAGAGGCCACGCCTCCACCCCCGCGGCCGCGCGGGCGGTGGTAGCGCCTCAGTGGTGCGGCCCTGCGTCCTGCCCAGGTGCTGCAGAGAGCTGCGGGGCTGTCGGCGGTGAGTGTGCGGATTGTAGGCGCCTCCTGGGTGAGGTCGGGATTTTGGGGGATGGGGAGGGCTTCGTAGTGTCGAACCCCTTTGGCCCTCCCGGCCATCGGCGTTGGCACAGGCTCTCGTTCCGGTGTCGCTGCGCGTCACACCCGACGATCGCGCGAAAGGCGCGGCTCCCACCTCGGCCCTTCTTCCCCTCGAGTTAATCTCGCGTCGCGGCGTGAGGGTCGCGGTTTCCACAGCCCACGACGGAGCGTGCTGGGTAGGGTCCGAATCTTAGCGTCTGAGGGGCTCCAATCTTCCCCTCTTTCCCGGGCTAAACTGCTTAACTTCTCCAAGCCTCAGTTTCCCCATCTGTGCGACGAGGCTGGGGAGGCAGCAGAACAAGGGGTCGCTCGAAGGTGGTGCCCGATGATTGTAACATGAACTAGACCGTGCAGCAACAGGTAGCTTCGGTTGAGGCTCCTGGGAATCTCCCGGTGTGCATCCCAGGACCGGTGACTCTGCCAGGCAGGTTCCCCAGTGGCTTCTGCGACACACTTTTTCCAGCCTCTTCTGGACAGCGGTGACACCCTCACCTGTGGGAGCAACTGGGTAAGAGGTTCTGGTGTGCTGGGCGGCTGGAGGGGAGCATCAGGGCGCCTGACCTCCGCTTTTTTCCTTTTTATTTCTCAAGGCGAGTCACCATTACTGAGGACTTTGGGGTTCAGCAAGCTGCATGCTGCAGTCTTTGCTTTGAGTCAGGGCCGAGCTGGGGAATAATGCAAGCTTAAAGAGAGACTCCACTGGTGTAGGAGGTCCTGGGTTTGAATCTTGTCATTGTGACAGTATGCATGACTTCTTTGATCCTGTTTGGGTTTCAGTGGCCCAAATGCCACCTTACTCTGACGTTTTGAGGTTCAAGATAAGGTCTGGAGAGTGGTGTTGAGAACTGACATCTTTGTAGGCCAAGCAGTTATCTAACCTTCTGGGATCTGCTGTCTCCTCAGTGCTGCAATTCCTCGGATCCCGTTTGTGGGGAAGGCATTGCTTCATTAGCCATACACAAACTACATCTACGCACGTCCCTTTTGAGTGGTGCTGAGGTTGGCTTGCTTGAAAAAACACAAAGGGACCACTTAGGGAACCCAGACAGTCCACTTAAAGAGTTCTTGTTTCCCTTTTGACCGAGTGATTCTTTTTGTTTTATTTTGAGACAGGGTCCAAATGTAGGCCAGGCTACATTTGAACTCGTGATCCTCCTGTCTCAGCCTCCTGAGTGCTGGGATCACAGGTGTGTGCCAGCCCGTCCAGCTTAAGAGAGTGATGTGGGTGGGTACCTGTTTCATTGAGCAGATAGTTTAATCACGTTCACAAGTGGCAGGAAATAGGCCTGCCTTTGAGAAAATGGAATATTAGCTTCTAATTGTGTTCAGTGGTCTCACCTCTCCAAAGGTCTTCTCTCTGACCCTTGACCCAAGGGTCAAGTTGTGTTTAGAATAGAACATATCCCAGGGATGTACTTTGGCACCTGGAAGTCACAGAGTTAACTGTAGCCAGGGTAAAGTCAGGTGAATAGTAAGCTGGGTGGATCGCCTGGGTAGTAGGAGTGTCTAACCAGCCACTGGGGATGTCTGGGGCCTTACAAACCTGAAATTTCAGGACCTGCCATTGATTCTGAGTTGATGCTCCCATAACCCCTTGAAAATCAGGCTTTGCCACAGGTAAGTCCACATATACTAAGGAGATAAGACTCTTTGAAATCAGAACTGCTTGGCAGTTCAGATTTACCTGTTAAGTCCATGGAACATTTTAAGCAAAAGACAATCTAGCTCTTAAGAAACTTGGAAGCCGGGTGCCAGTGGCTCACGCCTGTAATCCTAGCTACTCTGGAGGCAGAGATCAGGAGGATTGCAGTTCGAAGCCAGCCTGGGCAAATAATTCGCAAGACCCTGTCCTGAAAAACCCTATTACAAAAAAAGGACTGTTGAAGTGGCTCAAGGTAAAGGTCCTGTGTTCAAGCCCCAGTACTGAAAAACAAAGAAGAAAAGAAACTTGGAAGGGGGGTGGTGCTGAGGGCTGGGGGTGTGGCTCAAGTGGTAGAGCTCCTGCTCAGCCAGTACAAGGCCCTTAGTTCAAATCCCAGTACTGGCAAGTGGAAGCTTGTGTAGTGACAGAACCTTTTGTGGTTCCAAGTGGCCTCCCATCCCCACAACAGCTTGGCTTCCTTGTCCTCAGGGAGCCATGCCCAGGATTGGGAAACAGACAAACTGAGGGCAGGTGCTGGTGGTGGCACTGCGTGTTGTTTGGCACATCACGCCAAAGGTGCTTTGTCAAGTTCATTTTTAAAGTAGAGGGGTGTGGCTCAGTGGTAGAGCGCTTGCCTAGCTTGTTCAAGGCCCTGGGTTCCATCCCTAGTGCTGCAATTAAGGCGAGGAAAAAAGTGAAACGGAGAAGGGACTCGTCACATAAACATTTATTTTTATTTATAAAAATTTAAGTGCTCATTATTTAAAGAAAATTTTTACAGAAATATGTAATACAGATAGTGTCCTTCATAGCCTTATACTGAGATTAAAAAAGTCACTACTAATGGTATATTTTTCTTCACATACAAAAACATTTATTTTTTTAAAAACTCTTATTTTTTTATTTTCTGAAATTTAAAAAATTTTAATTTTGTTTGGTGGTACTAGGGCTTGAACTCAGGGCCTCACACTGGCTAGGCAGGTGTTCTACCACCTGAGCCACGCCCCCAGCCCTTAACCTCATTCTTTTAAAGACCAATAGTCTAGTGTCTAGTATCAAAAAAGTGACTCCAGTCGTGACTGTTGTTGAAGAAGCTTTGTGTCCTATCAACTTTCTGCTGTTAGGAACAATGCTGGGGTGAGTTGCCTGTTCTTCTGTTTGTGTACTTGAGCAAATATTTTTGTGTAATGAATTCTTAGCAGCAGAAGAGCTGGAAGGGTGTGTGCAAACTTTGCATTGTATTTATTTATCTAACAGATTCTGGTCGCCGGCTATGCACCTGGCTCAACCTGAGGTGTGTGTGGAGGGGCAGTATAAAAGTGAATAAGGGATGAATTCTTCCTGGATCTGACTTTCTCGTGGGGTAGAGAACCCGTGTTAGAGAGGAAACTAGCACAGAAGAATGTGTGCATGTGTGTGTGGGGGGGGTGTTATGGCTTTAAAGTTGCTAGGTAGTACCAAAAGGTGCTATTTTGTTACATTCTCACTAAAAAAAAAAAAGCACTCAACTTTTTTTTTTTTTTTTTTTTTGGCAGTACTGAGGTTTGAACTCAGGGCCTACACCTTGAGCCAATCCACCAGCTGTTTTTTGTGATGGGTGTTTTCGAAATAGGTCTCATGAACTATTTGCTCCGGTTGGCTTCAAACTGTAATCCTCCTATATCTGCTCCTCAGTAGCTGGGATTATAGGCGTAAGCCACTGGTGCCTGGTAGCACTCAACATTTTTAAATTCAGAATTCCAAGCCCAATTGTGAAGGCTAACTGCTACTGGCAGAGATGTTTGTGTTTCAGGGAAAATTGAGCCAGACTACTGTTTTGTAGTATTTATATACACAGTCCTCCTGCTCCCACAATATCAGAACTTCAGGTTCTTCTGATGAACCCCCAATGTTCATGTTCCAGTGTCCCCTTCATGCTGGGGCAGCCATGTCAGAGATGGGCTCACTTGCTAGAGGGTATGAGGGCAAAACCAAGGCCTCACTCCAGACAGGCTGCTTCCAGACCCCTTGTTCCTTTTGTGCTGTTTTCTCATCTTTTGGCTGTACAGCAGTAGTTACTTAATGGAGGGGAAAATCCTAATACACGTAACCACTGAAAAATGTGTCAACTCTTCACTCTCAGTACCACAAAGCAGCCAGGTGGGGTAGCATATGCCTGCAGCTCCAGCACACGGGAGGCTGAGGGAGGAAGATGGAGAATTCGAGGCCAGGCCTGGGCTACATAGCAAGAGCCTGTCTTAAAAGAAAACAAAAATAGAACCACTGCCATGATGCACAAGTAAGTGTGGGCCACCTTACACATCTCTTGGCATGTTTCTTACAGGATAAGAAACATGAACATCTTCCAGAGCTATTCCAGAGAGACAGAGAATTTCGGTTGCTCTGTTTTTATGTTCTACACAGGCTGCAGAGGAGAGCTTTTTCCTGTGCAATTCTTTTAGCTGGGATAGATAGACTTACAGTGGATGAAGCTGTGGGCTAGAGGCAGCTTACCTGCCCACGCCAGCCTTGATTTCATCAGTTCAATTAGGGAAAGAGTCCCTGCTCTACCTGCTCTGCTTCCTGGTATTACTCAGAAGGTTGCTTCTTTTTTTTTTGTGGTACTGGGGTTTGAACTCAGAACCTTGCATTTGCTAGGCAGGCGCCCTGCTGCTTGAGCCAACCCCCAACCTGTCTTTTTTTTTTTTTTTTTTTTTTTTCCTTTTTTTGAGAGAGGGTCAAACCCTATAGATAGCCCTGGCTGATCTGGAACTCAGTCTGTAGCCCTGGCTGCCTTTGAATTTGCCATCCTCCTGCCTCCTCCTCCCTAGTGTTGGGATTACAGGCACACCCCATTGCACCCCACTAGAAGGTTGCTTTTATAGCAACCTGATTCTTCCTGTTCTTGGCAGAGCTAGGTCCCTGTGGAATGACACTTAAAATACTGTTTAGTCCTCGGGCTGTGTCAGAGTGTGGGCTTTGGTTCAGGCCCTTGAGACTCCGTTGGGGAGGGAAGCAAACACTGAGCAAGCGTGGCAGAGTGTGCTGAATTCACTGGTGATGGGTGTGAAGCGCTTCTGAGCTGGGCCTGGTGTGCGTTACAGGAGCAGAGCGTTGGCAGCAGAGTGGATGGGAGCTGCCTTTGGGATTGTACAAGGCTCCCCTGGACAAGTGCCATTTGAGTTGGGTCTCGGCAGGCCACTAGGAATCCTAAGTTTCATGTTGACCCCCGCTCCGGGGGGCCTGGGGTATGGATTGCATGAGACTGAGGTTGTGTGGTGGGCTTGCCTTCAGGGGTCTTATGAACCATGCAAACTGCCAGGAAGGCTTTTTATCTTATTTTTTAAATTTTCATTTATTTTGTCTTTTGGAAACAGGGTCTTCCTATGTAGCCCAGGCTGGCCTTGCACTCACATCTTGCCTCCTGAATGCTGGGATTACAGCTTTATGCCACTATGCCTGGCTAACTTCTTTTTAAAATTTAAATTACATTCACTCTTTATTGATACGTAAAGACATAAAAGTTACACATATTAATAGGTAACATGGTATTTTAATGCATGTGTCACTGTGCCATGTTTAAATCAGGCTGAAGACCTCTGTGTCTTCAAACATTCATCATATCCTTACAGTGAAAATTTTCAAACTTCTTTTTTTTTTTTTTTTTTGGTGGGACTGGGGTTTGAACTGAGGCCCTTATGCCTGCAAGGCAAGCTCACTGCCACTTCAGCCAGTTTGGTTTTCAGATGAAGTCTCACAATTTTGCCTGTGGCTCGCCTTGGATCTTGTTCCTCCTCAGTAGCTGGGATTAGAGTCATGAATCACCATGCCTGGCCCTTATTTCACTTTTGAAGAGGCGTCTTGGGAGTGGCAGATGTGAGCATTGT